ATACTTATATAAATTTTTTAGTTAAAATCATTTTAGATTTAATAATAATTTACATTTTTTAGTATTATTAAAAACTAATTATATTTATATAAAATTTTTAATATAGATCAATTTTATAGATTATTATTTTATTTTTTAAATATTTTTTATTTTTTTTATTTTATTTTAATTATTTAATTATTTTTTTTATTATTTTATATAAATTTATTTTTAATAAATTATATTATATACTTTATAAAATGAAATATTTATTTGTAAATCAATATTTTTTTTTAATTATTTTAAAAATTAGTATAAAATTTAAAACTTGAAATTATATGAGCATTATATTAATAAATTATATATAATAAATAAATTTTATATAGATTAAAATATGAAAAGCTGGTTATAAAAATTGTATAACTAGTATATTATTTATATATGGTTAATCTAAAATTTATAAGCCTAAAAAAGTTTTTAATATATCTAAATAAATAAATAAAAAAGTAAATAATGTAATTGCTAATATTATATTATTATTTTCTAATTAGTAAAATGATAATATCTATATATTTCAATATTTATAGTTGAATATAATCATATTCACTATATAGATACAAATTATTTTACATTAGTTTATCATGTTTTATTAAAGTAATATTTGATAAAGTTTAATTTTACACAATTATAGCAAATCTTAACGTATTTGTATAATATTAATTATTTGAAGTAAGATATTCAAATAAGATATTATTTTTAAAAGATTTATTTAATGCTATTTAAAAAGTAAAAAAAAATAGCATAATCAATATCAGATAATGAATTAAATATTGATATCTCAAATTTATTAAAAGAAATAATTTTTTTGAAACAAAATGATCCTTTTGGTTTGTTAATTATTTACTAATTAATAAAAATTATGTGAATGATATATAAGCAAATCAATTTATACTTTATATATTCAATGTTATTATTTACAATACTATATTTTAAATTAATAAATACAATATATTAATTATGTTATTTATAGCAGAAATAAATCAAGATTAATTTCTTAAGCTTTAATTAGAGATAAATATAAAAAAATTCTTTTCTTAGGTTATAAAAAATTTAAAAAGACTACAAATAATATTGTATTTTATGTTATTTTTCTAATGCTGATAATATAATATATAATACAATCAAGAAAAATTTTTTTATAGTATATTTAATATTATATATTTTATATTAATAAAATATCAAGAAATATATATAGTAAACTTAATAACCAATTTCAAGAATTTTTTATTGTATTTGATGATTTATGTAACACATTAAACATTCAATAATTTTTAAATGAGGATTTACTTAATAAATAAAATGTTATAAGGTAATATCTTATTAATAATCTATATTTAATATATATAAAATAATAAAATATTATATTAATTATATTTTAATATAGTAATATAGATAACATAATATATAAAAAAATTAATATAGTTATTAAATAATTCATAAATAATTATAATACTTTTTGTAGATTATTTTATGATATTGAAAAATAATTAAAATAAGATAATTATAGCAATTAGTATAATATACAGTTACTTTCTAATATTAATAAAATTTTATCCAAATATTTACATCTGAAATTACTTATATTACAATAAAAACAAATTCAAAATAGCTTTTTATACAATATTAAACTATTAAAAAATTATATAGTTTATCTAAAAGAGTAATGCAGATTTCTGTTGATTGTAATAATAATAAAATTGAAATTTTCTTAAAATTTATATTAAAATAAAAAGAATATAAATTTAAATATAATAAAAGTTCTAATAAAAAAATGAAAGTTTTAATAAACAAAAACTTTTAAAGTAAATAATTCAGTTATTAACAATTGTATTAAAAGCTGATCTACTAAAAAAGTGAGATTTAAAAATATTGTTAAGTTATTTAAAGATAAAGTAATATTAAAGATCAGATATGTTAAATTGTAAGGAATATCAAATCACAATTTACGAATATGTACTAAGTTATATAGAAATTGTGGTAATTTAAATCATAGAATCTATCAATATAAAAATTAATTTTATTTGCTACTTAATTAATATAATTACTGATTACAAATAGTTATTTATTATTATTTTTATATGATAATAAATAATTAAATATCACTATATAATTACAAATAATAATATTATTATAAAAATCTAAAATACTAATATTAATATTAAATTAATATCACTATTATCAATTAATGATAATTAAATCAAGATCATTGAATTTATCTAATTTGATTTGATTTGATTTTGACTTTATATTTAAAATACTTTATATAATTGAATTAATATCAAATTGTTGCTAATTTACAGTTAAATTTATATTTTGAATTGATTCTAAATTGAAACTAATTTTAGACTAATTTATAATTAAATTTAAATTCTGAAATTGATGCCAAATTGTTTTTCTGATCCGTACTAATTTAGGTAAATCAGAAAACATATAATTCAGCTGTAAATAGTATTAAAATCAACTAAAATACAGCCATCTGATTTTTAGCCAATTTGAATTATTTTTATTAGTATAATTTCTTTATTTGTTTATAAATTCATAATTATAAATAAAATATTTTTTAGATTTATTAAATAAAAAATTATGTTTTATTATATTTTGTAAATATAAAATCAATTATGAATACTATTACTTTACTTTGCTTATAAATTTAAAAATTTATTTAAAAATTATTAATAATATTATTGTTTTATTTACATATGTAAGATGATTTATTTTAAATTTAATGAATTTAAATTTAATAAAATTTTATCTTATAATATAACTATTATTTTTAATAAATTGTTACAAATGATAATTATTTGTTATAAATAATATTAAATTATTAAAGTTTTAATAATAAATAAAAAATTTTATAACTAATATAATAATGATTTCCATTTGTATAAATTTATATAAATTATTTTCTGATTTATATAATTTATTTATTTATAAAATATAACCGAATTAGTGAAATTAAAAATATTTCAAATGCTTTATAATAATACTAACACTATTAATATAAAATTTTTAGTTCTTTTACAAAATAAGAAGATTTTCTAATTATAGTTTTTTTTAATGTGCAGTAACATGAGAGATAACATGGGATTACCAGATTTACTAGTAAATTGTACCCCAAATGGATCCCCCTTAGGTCTACGATACCCTCATAGGAGCATCAGCAACCCTGCCTTAGAGGCGGTTACCAACCTAATTTTTTTTTTAAACGATGTGCTGATTTCCTAATTATAGTTAATCTAATTAAAGTTAATGTAATGAAATCGTGTAACACTTCATTTATCTTGCAAGTCGGAAGTCAAACCAAGATAGTAAGCAGACATGAAAAATAATAAAGAAATTTTTATTTGCCTTATTTTAAAGCCATATTTGTTCTCTAAATATCGGAAAAAATCTGAATTTTTTTTCTTATTTAAGATTTGTCGGTTTATAATTTTTTTTTTTTAATGACTGCGCAGAATGTGAATACACGGGATGATCCGACTCATTTAGGAGCTCTATTTAATTAATTAATTATTTATTTATTTGAGTTGAAAATTTGGAGAGGTGATACAACCCCTGAAATTTTTTTAATGATGTAATGGAACCGTTTTTGTTTGTTTAATTAAACAAATGATGAATGCAGTCTTAATCTTATTTCTGCGCCCGCTTGCTAATCATAAAAAAATTTTTTTTTTCAAATATTAACCAATTAATTTAAGTTAGTAATCACGTTTAATTTAAAACTAGAAGTAGCACAGGTTTATACACTCGATTGTTATAAAAAAATTTACCTCAACATTTTCAAATTTGGCTTAGATGAAAGTTTAAAATCAAAGATATGTGCGTGAGAAAGAGAGACTTCTAATCTAAGACATAAACAGATGTCTGATAGTTTCACGAAAAATAAAGTTAGAAATTTCTAGAAAAAAATGTTTGAAATTCAAACTTGTTTACAGATGATAATGATAATGTGGGCGTAGATGATTGTTAATTTTTTTGACACGGTTATCACCTTTTAAAACTATTAATATAAAAACTTAATGATTTAATTACCCTCGTTGCCGGAAAATCAGTTCATTTCCGTTATATTTTTCCTTAATTTGGAAAAATAATTTTTATGATAGTTAGGTTAGACTATCAAAATAGATTATATCATACGACATCATCGCCATCATCATCATTTATTATCTATGATAAAATTATGGTGGAAATAATTTCCCTTCCCCACAAATGACATGGAAGAACTTTATTCTTTGGTTTGAAATATAAATTCGATCTACTGTGAAAAAAGATGGAGAATTACTCGAAGGAACTAATATGCGCCATGTTTCTCCTTTCGGAGTTTTCAATACTCTTTATAGTTACAAAGTCTGTGCATAGAAGTATTTCATAAATACAAAAAATTTTCGTACTAACTTATATTGTGTCGATTGTTGTTATAATAGATTCACCTTTGTACAAAATTGTATTGTGAATCATGACTATGTGAATTTTTCATTCCGACTTCGGTAATTTATCGGCCCTTCATAACATGATATTCTAAACCTGTTTTCACGAGTACAAGAATATGTATTCTCATTCAAAAATAATGCAATTTATATTATGAGAATGTGAGATTTTTTTTGAGGTCGTACAAATTATGATCAGTATATATAAATATTGTCATATTTTTTTTGCATTTATAATAAATTCTTCCATGACCATTACAAAGTTCTTATAATTTTAAATTTTATCTTTTATTTGCTTGTACAATTAATATAAAATTTTTCAACCGTTTTATGTAAATAACGGTTTGAAATAAAAAGACTTTATTCATAAATTTTTTGTACATTTTTTTAATTTACTCGAGTGTTCGTCAAAACAAATCATTCTATCCGTCTTTAACTTAAGAGGCATTTAATTATTTATCAATCAACCAAAAAAAGATTTTCGGGGGGTTTTTTTTTTTTTCTCTCTTCATAAATTACCCTTTACGAAAAAGGATGAACGATAGTATATTTCAACTTATTCAAGGTCAAATACCTTCCGAGATAATTCCCCATTATCTAATGCAGACTTATACTGATGGCCAACAAATAATAATACGTCATCATGTTTCAGTTTGGGAAACATCATCTAGATCACAAATTTTCTTCATGATTCTCTCAATTAACTTATGGTTAACGATGATGGGTTTTGCAATTTTAGGGTATTTTGTTGCGTGAGTATCATTTAAAATATGAATGAAGAATAAATGCTATAAAATTCATCAAAACTCATTAAATATTTTCTATTTACTTTGTAGTAAGGCTCGATATAGAACTTCAAAAAGATCCAATTCCTCACAATTACCATTAGACAAAGCACCTGGAGTGACGATAATAAGACCACTTAAAGGTGTTGATTGTAATTTATGCGAGAATTTGATTTCATCATTTCGACAAGATTATCCGAATTTCGAAATCATATTCTCGGTAGCAAACGAGAATGATCCTGCTGTAAAAGTTGTTAAAAAGTTAATGATGAGGTATCCAAAAGTAGATGCTAAATTAATTATAGGTTGGTAATCGTTTTCGTTTTTTAAAATTTATCGTTTTTAATGATTCAATGCGTTCACACTTACATATTATTCTATATAGGTGAACGTGATGTTGGTGTTAATCCGAAAATAAATAATTTGATTCGTCCGTATGAATCAGCTAATAATGACATTATTTGGATTTTGGATTCTAATGTTTATGTCGATTCGGGATGTTTAGGTAGATCGGTAGATAAATTATCTCAGCCGGGTGTTGGTCTTGTTCATCATCTCCCTTTTGCAGTTCGTCCAGACACTTTTGGTTCCGAATTGGAAATGATGTTTATGGATACCGTTCACGCCAAGATGTATTTGGCAATCAACGCAATTGGACCTGATAGTTGCGTCGTTGGTAAATCCAACTTGTATCGTAAAAGTGATATTGAAAGTGTCGGTGGATTAGCTCAATTTGGTAAATATATGGCTGAAGATAATCTTATCGCTCGTGCCCTATGGAGGAAGGGGTACAAACATGAGATGACTAGTGATTTGGCATATCAACCTCTTGGTTCAATGGCAACTGCCGATTATTTTTTCCGTCGTTCACGTTGGGCTCGAATTCGTAAATACACGGTTACGGCAGCCACAATATTAGAACCTTTTACGGAATCAATCATTTGCGGATTATGCGCATCTTATGGATTCCATAATTTATGGAACATTCATCCGTTAAATTTTTTGGCTTTCCATATTATCACTTGGTTCATGATTGACTTGAAATTGTTTCAAGCTTTGAGTAGGAAAAAGGTTGAGATGGAAAGTTTGCGTGGTTTCATCATGGCTTGGGCCTTGCGTGAAATTACAGCTTTGCCATTATACGTTTATTCTGTACTTGGTAATACTGTAGATTGGCGTGATGGTACTTTTTATTTGAAGCGAGATTCAACTGTTGTCAAAATTCCTTCACCACATCAAAAAACAAGCGTTGTTGGTAGTCTGTCATTGCCTTCTATAGCTCGCAAAGTTGCCGCTGTTGCGAATTATAATACTACTCATTCAACTTCAGATAGTCAAAGATCTGCGTTTTTCAAGCAACAATTTATTGTTTCAACTCTCACTTCGCTGATATTGATTATTGACATTGTAATGGACATCTTGTTTAAGAGTCAACGTAATGGAAATCCTGTAGAGAATACTGAAGCATGTGTCCTGGAAAATGAGGGTAAGGAAAAAATGAGAAGACATATAAGTGACAGACAGACAAAACGTGTCTCAGGAAATAATGACGTTAATGTTGGAGATGATGATTATGAAACGAGTGTAGAAATTGATAGTGCTGATGAAAAAGAGATATCTAATCGAGATGATCCAATAATTCAAGCTGCGGGTCATTATCTAAGAAGTTCCTTGAGTAAGACAAGTAGTCATTATTTTGGTGTACCCTATCATAATGAACCCGAATATATGGACAATTCAGATATTGAAGTTGCTTCGTCTTCATCGTCTCCAAATAGTGCCGAGTCGATGTCTCGTCGAAGCTCCACTTCTTCCATATCATCATCATCATCATCATCATCATCATCAGATTCTCAAACGAACATTAAAACTTCAAATATAAGACGTCCATCTCTTTTAAATGAAATATATAGAAGTGTTTCAATTGGGCTCTCAATGCATTTACAAAATGAAAAAAATGTACTGGAAGGTCAAAGACGTAGAAAAAGTGTATCAACTAATGAAAGATCGAATAATCAAGATCGATCACGGGTTAGAAGCATGTCAATTATATAGCTATTACTTTTCTGGTATTTGTATTGAGATTGCATATATTTTGATTGATGATACTTTTTTGATGTAAATATTAAATAATGAATTTTGGTGTAGTTAAAGATTTATCAGTTAAAATCAATAAATAAATACATATTGTGATTTCATTTTAAAACAGATTTTATAAACTATTTCTAACCTTTAATTTATTCATATTACGTATTTAAAACACACTAATTTTTCGTGATCGGTTCATCGCTCACTATCGTTTCAAAGAATTTTTACGTAAAATGCTTGATTCTAAGGAAGACATTTCAGTATCCACATATTTAACACTTTATATTAATTATTCCATTATATAATTTGTTCCATTTTAAGACTATTCCATTTTAAAAATTAAAAAAAGAGCTATTTTAATTTAGATTTTTGATCTAAATTAGGTAATTTCTGTAATTTTAGCTAACTTTATATTAGCCAAATTCATATTATTTTTAATAAAATACCTCCAATGAAGCCAAATACAAACCTGAAATTGATACATCTGATTTTAAAATTTTTTTTTTTTTCCCCTCATCCTTAATTAAACAGATTATTATTACTGAACACAAGAAAACAACTTGAATCAATTTTAATTTTATATATTTAATTTTACAATTTATTTAATAAGAAAAGGATTCTATTATGTAAAAAGCAATGATCTAATCTATCATTTAATAGAGAGTTTATTTAAAATAGTCTATTAATCAGTAACTTCTATTCTTTTAAAAATAGGTAACCAAAAGTGGTGGCTTTAAACTATTTACACCATATATTATATATTCTTTGAAATTAAGCATCCTTAAATATTATATTAAATTTTATTAAATTTATATAAAAGATTATTATATTTACAAATAAAAAGAAAAAATAAAGCTATATTATCTATTTATTGCTAATATTTTTTTTATCAGAATTATCATCATTAATATTTAAATCATCTAATAAATCAAATATATGATAAGTTTTAAAAGAATTTATAATTATTTTGTTAAAAACTTGTTCTTTACTTATCCATATATATCATTAAGCTTAGTATGTCAAAGATTATTTTTAGCAGTTTAACTGACACCACTACTGACCATCTACAAATATTATTCTTTTCTAAGATTGTCTTTAAAAGATTTATTAATAGTTACATCAAGAAGTTAACATATACTGGTTAAGTTACCTAAAATGATTGCTAAATTTATAACCATTTTCTTTAAACTTTTCTTTAATTGAATTTTTTAAATAATCTTTAAAATGATTATATATCATTAATATTAATAATTTGGATCTATTATTATTTTTATTACTAAGATAATTAATATATTACAACATTAGTAATCTCCTTTTGATAATCTTTTTTCTTTGAATATGCAAATTAGAAAGTATTTTATACTATCTATTATACGAAAAAGTAATTTTATTTTAAAAAATTTTTTAAATTTAAAAAATAAATTTTTTTTTTAGATTTACAGACTCTTTATTTGTAATATATATTAAAATAACAGTAAAATAGATTTTTTCATTATCTATCATACAAAAATAAATCATTTTCTCATCTTTTAATTAATGTTAAAATTTTTAGCTATATAAAACTAGACTGAAATCTCATCTATATTAAAAATATTATATAGTTTAAAGGATTTTTTAAGTTTAAAATAAATAATAAATTAACAAAACTTTTCTAAAATTTTTTTAGTTTATACAAGAAGTTTTTATAAAACTTTTGCATATCTCTATCATATAAATTTATATCTTTTCATAAATAAAGATATTTAAATATCAGCTATTTTAAAAATTTTTGCTGCAATTACAATCTCTAGCAAAAAAAATGGCAGTGCAATTTTTTACTATATAATTAACATTTTTTTGTAAAGATTTGTATAAACAATTATATAGTATTTTATATGTATTATTAGTCCAAATGCTATATGTATGTTTGAAGTCTACAATGTATATTTTAATATGAAAAAATTTTTGCAATTGTAAAACAAGATCAAATTTGAGTGTTTGATCATTAAAATTAAAATTACAAAATATTTTACTATATTAATGAGCTTCATTTACTAATAAAAAAATGTTCAGCTAAATGTTTTATAATAGAAATAATATATTCTAATTAAAGAAGTAGGAAATAGAAAGTATGAAATTAAATTAATAAGAAGAAAAGCTAACTTTCTAATTTTTAGTATTTTAACTTGTATTTAAATCCAGATTGACAGAGAAGAAGAATACTTTTTATATTTTAATTTTTTGAGTGTAATTCCTTAATCAAAAGCATTTGATAATAAAAAAAATTTTGAAAGTTATTTATTAAAAACTTTTATTATTTAAAAAAAACTTTCTGCCATTCTTTTCGCTGAAAACTATATTATTGTCAATATTAATATTATTAATGTTATTAGTATTGTTGATGTTATATTATATTTCTAAAAATTCTAATATTTTAACTTTTATAATTACATAAGTTACTGCTAAATCTTATTTTCTCTATTCTATAATCCAATTATTATACAGTTTTTTTTTAGATTTAGAATAAAAAGATTTTTAATCTGAACTAATTCTTTTACTATTTTAGTTTATTTCATCCTATTTTAAACTTGCTTTTATTCATTTTCAACTATACTAGTATCAAGTTCAAAATGACTTACTGCTTTATTTCTTTTAACTTATTTTGCATAAGTAATAACCTCTTTTTTTGTTTAATAGAATATGAACTATGTTTACTTTTGACCATTATCATTTATAAAAAAGTTACAAATTTACGTGCAATATATACAAAATACATATTATACTCAAATATACAGTACATGTAATTCATTATTAAAGATAATCATTTAGTCTTACAAGATCGTCATACAAATTGGATAATCTAAATTTTAAAAAAAATCTCAAAAATAAGCACTCTTATAAAAAAAGAAATGCTTATTTTTTAAGAGTATATAATATTATTTATTTTTATTATTAATTTAGTTTATTATAAAATCTGATTAAAAATATAATAAAAGAAATATTAAGTAGATCAATATATTCTAATATAAATAAAATATAAATAATTATAAAAGAAATATTTATCATATTATAATTGTTTAATTACAAAATATTATTAAATTTTAATATTTTAATTTTTATTATTTCTACTAAAATAATATTAGAATCTCTGTAATATCTTAATATAATGAATTAATAATTTAATATTTGTAATATTTAATAAGAATCAACTATTACTAATTAATATAAAACAAGTTTAGTAAAGATTTAAAGTTAGAAAAAAATCTAAAAATTTAAACTAAAATTATTTGCTTTAATAAAGAAAAGTAAATAAATTATTTATTTAATTTATATTTTAAATAATGTTTAAGAATCTAAACAAAAAATATATTTTTAAATGGCTTATACCATTGCCATTTGTAAAATTTTTTAAATTTTAAAATATAATATATTGTCATTATAGAATTCTCTACTTGAGATTATTACCTATGATTTATTGCAGTTAAGATATTAGAATCTGCTTAACTTTTAATTTTACTAAATCTATACATTAAACTTAAATAAATCTATTAAGTATAAAGACTTAAAAGATAAGATTACTAACAATTTAATTAATTAAAGAATTTAGATAACAAACTCAATTACAAATAATGTGTAGGAATCATATTAGACTATATAAAGATACAAAGAGATAAAAAGATATAAGTTTTTAATTGATTCCTTATTAATATTGAAACTTATATTTGCAAGAAAGTTAATTTACAATATAAGCAAAAAGTCTATCTATTTATACAAAATTTCTTTTGTCTCAGCTAACTATTTACTATACTATAAACTAACTAATTTAATAAATAAAATATAAGTAAAATAAATACACTAGAAATAATAAAAATACGTGAAATAATGAAAATATAAAATATAATAAAAATAATAATAAAAATTAGAATAAGTATAATACTAAATATTCCTAGACTTCATCTTTAGTATTTAAAAGATTTACAAAATTATGTAAATTCTCTGTATTTTCAGAATTCTGGATTAGAAAATCATCATACTATATTATCTACATGACTTCATTATGATTGGTCAATTACTCTGTTGACAATAAACAGATTTTAGAAAATATTATTAAATTGCAAATAAAAAAGTTTATAAATTTCATAATATTAAATATTTAAATAAAAAATTTTTTAATTTGTAAATAAATTAAATATTTAAATTATATTTTTTTAAGAAAACTTGATAATATAATTAAAATAATATCTTAATCATCTTAATTACTATATTCTTAGCTATATCATTAATAAATAATAATAATAGTAGTAAATTTAACAAAAAACAATAAAATATATAATAATGAATATAATAAAGAATAGTTAATAATATAATTATATATTTATTTATTATAATTTATTATTTATAATATTATATAAATTTACATATCACTGATTTATTTACCAAAATCTTTACACTAAATTAGATTTTTATTTTTATTTTTTTCTAATTTAATAAAAACTTCAAATACTATAATAGAATTAATAGAATTAATTAACAATAAGAAAAAATTTTACTTATCTAACTAAAATTAAAAAAAGTATTATATAATAAAATAAAAATTTATTAAATTTAAAAATAAATTATTAATAATTATATCATAAGATTTTTATATTATAAATTTTATATTTCAAATTATATTATAAATTTTCAAAGTACTTTGTATCATAAATTTTTAAAGACTTTAAAGAACTATATATATATATAGAGTTTTAGATGAGTCAAGTTAACTCATGAGTCAGATAAGCTAAGTCAAGTTTAAATTGAGTTGAGTTTATGTTTTTTTGATTTAATAATTTGCGAGTCAAGTCAAATTCAAATTGAGTTAAATATTTAACTCGACTCGATTTAAACTCAACTTGATTTGAGTTGACTCAAGTTGACTTGAACAAATTTTTTTATCATTCAAGAAGAATAATGACAAATCGTTTAACTTGAATGATTTTTTTTATTGT